AGATTTGCCCCGGGGTAAAATACTTGAAAAAATCGCTAAAATACCCCGGGGTGGACACTCTAGTAATAACTTGACAAGTAAAATACTTACCCATTTTCTGTTTTTAATTAAAAAAATTAATTTCGGTGCCTAAAACTTACTTTTCAATTACTATGGTTAAAATGAAATGTGTGTTACCGCACTAATCGAATATTAGTTATAAAAAAATTTAAGCGCACTAAACGAAAACGCATTAATCGAGGGATCCCTGTATATATAATGTTACGACAGCGGAAGTCATGTGACCCTAGTAACACGTCATGAGCTTCTAAAAAATTCATGTCCGTTCGTGAAGCCTCGAGTGTTCTTCAGATGTACGTTTTTTGTATATATAAGACCGGTAAAAAGTGCCGGCAAAAATAGAATTGAATTGCAGACAGAGATAGAGACGGATAATTGAGTCAAGCGCGTGAATCGTTCGTTGTGAATTATAGCGTTTGTTTAAGTTATAGAGCGACTGTGGAAATTAAGTGTATTGCAAAGTTGTATTGAGAAAGAATAAAGTAGTTTTATTTAAGAAAGGACTTGTATCGCTAAAGTTTCTTCGGAAATAATTTTTACGGAAAATTAACAAACGAACACAGAGGCGTATCAATATATTACAGTTCAGATTAAATTCAAAACAACGAAGTTTGCTTGCACTGATTCCAAAAATGTGTTGGAAATGATGAAACAGTGGGAAGAAGATGATGAAGAAAGAACTAGGAAGATAAGAGAATAATTACAAGAACAAAAGATATGAGATTTAAAGAATAATTATAAAAAAATCAGTTTGACCAAAGGTAATATTGAGAAAGCCATAGAAAATGTAATGAAGAATTATAACAATGAAATCAAAGAAGTACAGAAAGATAATTAAAAAGTATGACGAAGCCATAGGAAATGTACAGGATAAAACATCTAGAAAAGGAATTGGGAATTCAATAATCAAACAAATCATATCCCTCTTTGTATCCACTCAATAATTCCAACCTCAAACACTATTAATAATTCAATATAGAATTGAAGATTACATCTACTATAAACGTAATAACATAATTGTTTTGCCACTTATGACTGCAAGACCTTCCTGAACTGTTTCGTTTACACCACTACTGATGTTATAGAACTTAACAATCCAGTCCAAAAAAAATCGCTCAATTACAAAAATAACAGATTATGGTGGAAATGTATATCTTTTGGGAGGGCAATTCGAGCACACTTTGGAATAACTTCCAATGTAAATAAATGGAGTGGTTAGCAACAAATAAATAATTTTGCTACTCATTTAAAAGGCCAAGATTTAAGAACATTAAGCAACCTTCCAACAGAGAGCTACAACAACTACCAGTTTATTACAATACCAGAGATTGAACTTCAAGTGATAACAAGGAGGACAATTATTATACCACCAAGAAGTAAAATGCTCATACCAGGACTTATTAAGAACAACTTTACATCTAGTGCTTGGGCCATGGTAGAACCAAACATTCCAGCTTGTCCTAAGAGGTTGTTGATGGGAATAATTCTTGTCGTTCTGAAGAATGAGAATGTCATCATTAGGGCTATAAACACAACAAATCGTTAAATCTCAGTTAATTATTGATGGAACAATGGTAGCTATACAAATAGTACTTCTACATCAAAGACAATCAGAAGTAATCGTC